ACAGGGCTTAAATACACAGGGAGTAATCAGGGAATGGGCCACAGGAGGGAGACACAGCTGGGAGCAATTAGGCTAACGAGACAGGGGAGCGGTAAAACTGAACACACTGACATGAGACATGAACTTTCAGAATAAAACAGGAAACTAAGAGACACAGAGAACCAGACAGGACACTTAACTTGACAGGCAGACTCATGAGCAGACACAATAACACCATGGACAGACAGAGAGAACACAGTCAGGCATGAAACAAAAACACTAACACATAGCAAACCTAAACAAAAGACAAAACAGAATAACCGAGAACAAAGAATAATATAAAGAAACACAAAACACAGAGTCCTCGGACTCAGGACCATGACACCTCCAAAGATTTTCTATGGGTTAAGGTCTGGAGACTGGTTAGGCCACTGCAGAACCTTGAAATGCTTCTTACGAAACCACTTTTTCGTTACTCGGGCGCTGTGTTTGGGATCATTGTCATGCTGAAAGACCCAGGCACGCATCATCTGGAATGCTCTTGCCTCCTTGGGAGGTTTTCAGTCAAAACCTCATGAAACATGGCCCCATTCATTGTTTTGTTTACATGTTTCAGTCTTCCTGGTCCCTTTGGAGAAAAACAGCCCCAAAGCATGATGTTTCCACCCCCTGCTTCACAGTAGGTATGGTGTTCTTTGGGTGAAACTCAGCATTCTTTCTCCTCCAGACATGACAAGTAGAGTTTTTACCAAAAAGTTCAATTTTGGTTTCATCTGACCATATAACAATCTCCCAATCCTCTTCTGGATCATCCAAATGCTCTCTAACAAACTTCAGACGGGACATTTACTGGCTTAAGCAGAGGGACACGTCTGGCACTACAGGATTTGATTGATTTCTTCACACTAAGCTGCTTACCTTTTGCAGATTCAGTCTTCCCAGCCTGGTGCAGGTCTACAATTTTGTTTCTGGTGTCCTTTGACAGCTATTTGGTCTTGGCAATAGTGGAGTTTGGAGTGAGTCTTTTATGCTGATAAGTTCATACAGGTAACGAGTGGAGGGCAGAGGAACCACTTACAGAAGAAGTTACAGGTCTGTAAGAGCCAGAAATCTTGCTTGTTTGTAGGTGACCAAATACTTATTTTCCACCATAATTTGCAAATAAATTATTTAAAAATTAGACAATGTGATTTTCCGTTTTTTTCATCATTTTGTCTCTCATAGTTGAGGTACACCTATGATAAAAATTACAGGCCTCTCTCATCTTTTTAAGTGGTAGAACTTGCACAATTGGTGGCTGACTAAATACTTTTTTGCCCCAGTGTATATGGACAAGGAAAATTGTTTTCTTTGGTTGTATTCTTAATAACTTATTATCTACCCATTATTAAACATTGCCAACTCAGGTGCTACTGAGTAGAATGAATTAAAATATATGAAGATTAACAGAAAGCAAGAGATATTCATTCATACTCATAGTGGCATTTTGGAGCCAGCCTCAAGTGTCCATTAGAGGAACTTTAGTATTTGGCACTTTGTTTTCTTCATGGATGACTTTTCTTCAGTCACCAGTGGCTGAAAACTAAAAGAAGTGCACTGGGGGTAGAGTAGGCCCTGAGCACAGAACAAGCAAGAACAATGTGTAGAATCTAAAACCATAGTAAATGTCTGTTGCGCTGATTCAAATTATTTTAACGCAGTGCTCAGGGAGATATCTGGTCTCTGACTCATCCGCAGAAGGAAAGCGACGAGTCCTAACATCCAGTCAGTCTCATAAGTAAAAATAGTGTAAACTATCTTCAGCCACAAGGGGTTCTACAACAGATGGTCTGTCCCCCACACAGTCGTATTATCAACATCATGGAGTCTGTGTGGGACTGATTACATCAAAAGCGGCTGAGAGAGCAGAACACAGAACAGCTCTGTGAATTTCTCTAACATGCTGGAACAATCTACCAACCAAAAAACTGTACCTTGAACACTTTATCTTGTGTAAAAGTAGTTAAAGGCTGTTTTGTTTTGTTTTGTTTTGTTTTGGGGTTTTTTGGCCTTTCCATAACGTCACTGATGAACAAAAACATTAAAAAAAAACATTTTCAGTCTTCTTTTTGTTTCTACTACCTATAACAGCACTGAATCCATTATTTAATGCTCAAGACTGACATTATTAAACTATAAAACTATAGTTAAATTATAAAACATCACCCATTTATCTACGTAAACTGTGCATATGAAACTATACATGAAACTATATGAAAATTATACATAAACACTGTGAAAAACAGTCATATAGGAACTGACCTTGCATGCTGTAAGTGGGACTCCACTCAGGTCCAGTTCCTGTGTGTCACAGGTCAGCTCTGTGGCATTCCAGTCCACCTCATACTGCTCGCAGGTGCTGTGCTGCACCAGTCCAGAGTTATTGACCAGAGGCACCGTCAGTCTGCGACTGTCTGTCAGGTTCCAGCCGCATGCATGCCTCCTCTCCACCACTGCAGGGTCCCGACACCAATGATCAGGGGTGAAACCCTGGAATACGATGCCGACGTATACCCCTGCAAAGGGCAACGACAAGAGGCAGAGCAGGGCAAAGATTCGCCTCTGACAGCGGCCAAATGACCCGGCTTCTTCCAAGAGGTCATCAAAGGTCATCCTTACTGTCGCAAAGTTTAAGAAATCAAGTCAAATCTTGTTCTGTTCAGCAAACCATGGATCAGTGCAAACTATCAGAGTCCCTTCAGGGGTGCTTAGACCTCGTGCACCTCACACTGGTCGATCCACAAGTCCAAAGGGGCCAGATGAAACACAGCTGGGTAACAGCGTGTTACTGTTTAATAAAGTCAAACACAGGAAGAAAGCAGGATTATGCAATCATTAAATGTATGTCTTCTTAAGGAATGCTTGAATGGCCTTAGCTTCAATATTTATGCACGATCATCACATCACATGACACGGATGGTCAGCTGTCTTTTATTTTTCTAAGAAAATGGTGTGACGTGTATTAACTACACAATAAAAATGACTGTGTTTGAATCACTCTGCCTCCATCCACTGTATTCCTGGAATTTGTAAAAAAAAAAAAAATGTATATATAGAACAGTGTTACATTAAACAGTACATATTTATTTTCTTAACCGAAATCAAAGAAGTTTATAGAATTTAGAGAAAAATTAACTTGATTAAAAGAAGTTGAGCAAATCAGAGAAATCTCTGTCTGGCCTTCTTCACCTTGGAGCAGCTGCTCTGTGCCCGACTCTGTGTTTAGGCCCAGGGACCGTGGATAAATACACAGACATGTTTGTGGATATTGTTGTAAGTGCATTTATTGACTTCAAGGCATTCACAACCCGCTAACCCCAAAGTTTAACCTTCACAAGTAAGTGCCAAACCCTAACACTAATGTAAAATGAATTCTATCTTACATTATAAAACTAATTCTTCAAAGAGAGACATTTAAATGACAGCCAAAATATTTTGACTTCTAAAAGACTGACACCTGAAAAAATTTTATGAATACTTAAAAAATGTATTTTCTTCCTTCTATAATTGTTGCATCTTTGTAGTGTGCAGTGTGTGTTATTCAAACTTGACATTGTTACTAACACATCCTCACCATCATTTTCATTTTCTATGTAGTGATTTTGATCAAAACCACCTTTGAATGGTCTTCATATTAATAAAGGTTATGAGCATTTTCTAAGTCCTTCAGAAAAACCAGGGTTCAGTTAAAGACATGTACATTTCATGTCCTTAAAAATGTTACTATTGTGCAGTGATCTGTCAGTGCATTTATATTAAGCAACTTCTCATCTATTTTCATTGTAAATGGCAGTGTCTGCTATTCCTGCACCACAGTAGAAAGAAACAATGACACACAGTTGATTGTTGACTTTTATGATACAATTAGACTGAAGCTGGAAGCTGCGTGGAGAACCCTGATTTTACTGAAATATCATTATTATTATGAGGGTTTTGATAGGATGTGTTTTTCTTACTTTAACCTTTCTTAGGTAGCATTAGGATCATCATATGATCATATGGTCTCATGAGTTGTCCTCTGTTACATGCTTTGTTTTTCAGAAACATTACTACCATTGTCTTGTGTATGTCACATGTAAGGTCAGCTGTTTGTTGTGCTCATGTAAGATTTCTCAACTCTTACTTCTATCATATTTGTAAATTGCTTATATCACAGATTTGAACAAAATTAAATTAAGCCTGATTAATTCCAAAGACTAGGCTGTGTTTCTTTGGTTATAATAAGAAATCGTCTCATCTTCCTAAGTTTTTAATAAAACAGATTTCAAACATCCAGCCAGTTTTAGAAAGATTGCCTCTTCCTGTTTTTGCCTCCACGCCATTATAGACTGTATAGAAAAGATGGACATAGCCAGGAAACAGAAAGTGTTGGGTTTTTTCCACAGTCTCGAATTCATTATTTGCTGCACAGCAACATCTTGTCAATGATAAAGTAGTCACACCCTATCACTCAATTAATAAAAACTAAACTAAAATGAATAAATAAACACTGCAACCAAACAGAATTCAAAACAAAAAATAATAAAGACACAAAACTATTCTTGCTTTGACTCAAACCTTTAGCCTATATTTTGTTATACAAAAGAGATGAAAGTGAAATATAAAAAGAAGATAATAAACCTTTATTAAGATAATAAACCTTTATTATCTTCTTCACGTGCTACCTGAAGAGTCAAAGTTTCCAAAACTTTACAGGATTGGCCGAAGAATAATTAGTTCAAAAGGCCAGTCGTTACATCTGAGAACAGATAAATTCTTGAGGTGTTACATGCACTCCAGCTGTGTTTCATAACGATGCAGCAGAAAATAATTAAATTGCTGTGTTTTTAATCACATTTTTTTCTTCTGTTTTGCTCCAAAATCTCTCATAAACAAGGATTTCGACCTGCTGCCCTTTTGCTGTCCTTGTCAGGACAATGATTAACTAATAACTGAGCTGTCCTATTGGTCCTCCCAACATGCTAAAAGAAGTCCAACAATAAACCAGGAGGTATCTGATCATATTAGGGTCTCACCATGGACCTGAACACAGCAGCTTTCCTCCTTGGAGCTTTGCTCTGCAGTGGTAAGATATTCATCTTTGAATGATAATTATTAATAAATGTATCATAGCCATTGAAGAGGCAGTTGTTGGATTCACTGTGAGAGTGCCTCATCGATATGTATTAGGATCTTAAATGCAGAGTTTTTGTTCACACAGCCACATAAATGTAATGGAAACAGGTCAGAACAGACAGCATTGAATAATCAATTTAAAGCTAAACCTCATGTCTACAACTGATAGATGATGTTAACTGTGGGCTCAAAGCAAAGATGTTTTATATAATGGATGTAATGGATGGAATTTCTCTCAGCCCATCTATGGTCTAAAACGACCTTCTTTAGCTGTCTTTTATCTGATTGACTATCTCTTGCAAACAGAAGGTTTGAGTGGAGGTAGGCGGGGCTTCTATGCTAATAGACACACCTGTGTGGCTGTGATGACCAAAATAGAGATATCAACTCTCAATGCCATCATACAGAATGAAAAAATAGAAAAAAGAAAAAAAATCCTGAAACCTAGTGTTTAGAGGAATCGGAAGTGTGAATCTTTCCTTAGTAGGATCATTTGTAAATACATTGACATCCCCATTTGAAAATTTCGACATGCTTAATAAGAGTATCCACCAGTGTAACTAATAATGTAGACTTTCTGATTCAAGATTAGGTCAAATCAACAAAAGAAAGTGATTTTTCTTACATTTTTTATCCTATCTACCTTAATTACATCCCAGTAATGTAACAGAAGCTTAAATAATTTTGGAAATGTTCAGGCAAACAGCAAAGAATAAGCTAACAAATCAATCAGTTAATAAATAAAGCTTTGGGGGATTTTTTTTTGTGTGTGTGTATGATTGCAGTTGGTGCTACTGAGATAGAGGGCTACTCCAGAACTGAAGGGGCATGGATCCTCTCACTGAATAAACGAATGTATTCAGTCAGCACTTTGGCCGAATGTGCTACCAAATGCAACACTGAAACCCTCTTCACATGCAGGTAAGTTCATACCTCACACTCCCAATTGTTTTCATCTTGGGTATTAAACAGTGCGCACACACACTACATTTATATACATATGTACTTTTTTTAAAAACAGGACTTTTATGTATGATGAAAACGACAGCGAGTGCTGGACAGCAGCTGCAAACTCTAAAACAGAGAATATCATGCGCAGAAGAAACACAGCTTTATATGAAAAAAACGGTAATGATCTTCAAATTCCTGATATAAGTGATATAAGACTGAGATGTCTGTTTTTGCATTTTATTTTCTTTGTCTCTGGTGACTGTTCTACTCTGGTTTGTGTGATCTTTTTAGTTTTCCTAACATTGTGGTTAATTTTTAGCCAATGTGTCATGATCAATGATGTTTGGACTGTGTCTGCAAACACAGTGGAGCTGGATTGCAAGTTAAACACTACTGTGGTTCAATCTGATTGAATACAACACAATAGTAGAGTCCTGTTGTTTCTTTTTTCTTTTCTTTTCTAGAATATCTCTTAGAATGCGCAAATGGGATAGGAACAGATTACAGAGGAACAAAGTCCAGAACAAAATCAGAACAGGTCTGTCAGAGATGGGATGCAAGCTACCCACACAGGCCAAAGTATGTATTCAACTGATTTAACTTAACCATTTCTTATCTTTTTATTATTATTTTATTTCTATAGAACATTTAATAACAACAAAATGTTGGCCAAAGTGCTGTGCAAACATAAAAATTGCACAGTAACAAATGACATCAATAACAAACGACATCAATAACAAATAACGAATACCAGGTAACAGATGAGTAAGTAGATAGATAGTAACTCTCATGCAGTGTTGAAAGCCAATGAGTAAAAATGTGTTTTAAGATGGGATTTGAAAAGACTGACGCTTGGGGCCTTTCTAATGTGGAGAGGTAAATCATTCCACAATTTCAGCGCCACCACCGCAAACGTCCGGTCACCTCTGTGAACCAGTCTCGACTTAGATGTGACCAAGATCAAGAGATCGCTTGATCTAAGAGCTCTAAAGGGCATATAACGCTGCAGTAAGTCAGACAGATATTCTGGAGCCTGTCCATTCAGTGCTTTATAAGTCATCAATAAAATTTTGTATTTTATTGATTACATTAATTTTTGTTAATGTTTCTGCTGCAGTTTCACGCCACAGAGCCACCCACGAGCAGATCTGGAGTCCAACTTCTGCAGAAACCCTGATGGGGACAAAGGGGGACCCTGGTGTTACACCACTGACCCCCAGAAACGCTGGGAGCACTGCAACGTACCCAGCTGCTCTGGTAACACACACACACACACACACACACACACACACACACACACACACACACACACACACACACACACACACACACACACACATCTAATTATACTCTAGCAGCTATTTTACATTCAATGGTCTTCATTTGGTTTAATACTAATATATAATTTGGGACAACATTATCTGCTATCCATGGCCCAGCATATCAGATACATCAGGGATTTTCCTTCCCAGAGGAATGTATAGTCTGCAATGGTGAGGACTACAAAGGAAAAATCTCCACCACTGAAAACGGCTTCACCTGCCAACGCTGGGACTCTCAGAAACCTCACAACCATGACTACCATCCCAGCAGGTAAGTGCAAAACCTTTGTGAGTTTAACAAGCCTTTTCTGGATTACTTTCTGGATACTTCTTCTTATACTCTGTGCAGTCTACCACAAAAATATCTTGAGGAGAACTACTGCAGAAATCCAGATGGAGATCCCCGACCATGGTGCTTCACCACTAGCCCATCCAAACGGTGGGACTACTGCGCCATACCGCGCTGCAGTAAGTCTCCATTTTTAAATGTTTCCTCATTAATGAACCACAAAAAGGCTTTCACAGCCGTTGTTTGTTGCCCAGCGTGTTCTTCTGCAACACAATTAGCATGATGGTCATAAATTAAGAATGTCATGTGCAAGAGTTGTTGCAGACAAACAAATATATTCATGTTCCAATGAAACCAGACATTCAAACTTCATAGTTTTTGTTGCTCAATCTATTTACAGGCAGCAAAGTATTTAAATTCAGTTTATTCAAGTTCAACTAATGTTATAGTGACCTGCTATTTTAAGTACCATGATTAAATCCAATCAAGGTGCAGAGTTAAGCAGGCAACATTTATTTCAGGTGTTCTTTATTGATGGCAAAATCCCAATTCAGCAGCTTGTAGACAAAACACAACAGCCCATTCAGAAATCCATGTTGAATAAACATTGAAATATATATATTTAGATAAACTCAAGCTACCATCATCCACTGCCAGAAACTACTTAAAAGTATAAGTAAAATGAATAACAGAAAAGGAAGAATAGAACTAAAGGAGACTTTATGTAAATGAAGTTGTAAGAAAGTATAAAAGACAACAAAATACAGACAATATGCTTCACTTCTTTTTTTGCTGGATTGTACATGAAATACATCTTTTCTTCCGTCTTCAGCTGCTGAACCTTCCACCATTGTCCCAGAGGTCGACTGTGTCACCGGGGAAGGTGTAGCATACCGAGGAACAATTGCTGTAACTGAGTCTGGCAAAACGTGCCAGAGCTGGTCGGCTCAGGTGCCACATAAACACAACCAGTCCCCAGAAAACTACCCTTGCAAGTAAGAGCTGTATCCAGGAATTAATGTCCATCCTAACGTGGTGAACCAAATATTAGTGGGAGTTTTTGTCAATAGTTTTCAGCTCTAGTGTGTGTAGCACCTACGTGGAGTCATTACCTTGGTTATTAGGGTAATCGTGGCTCAAGAGTTGGCAGTTCGTTTTGTAAAATGAATAGTGGAATTGTAAAGCGCTTTGAGGGTCTTGAAAAGTGCTATATAAATGCAATCCATTATTATTATCCATTGGTACTGTATATGAGTAATTTTGGGCTAGTATCAGAAGATTAAGAACGACCCTTAGAGCTCTGGTACATGAACAGCAGAGGAACCAGACAAACACTGTTGTGTGGCTTAAAAGTACTTCAGTGATGTTAAGCCTTTTAAAATAAATTTGTGAACAACACAGGATTACAACAGGTTTTAACAGAACTTCAAGTATAAAAATTTCCCCCAAAGTAGCAAAAAAATAGAATAAAAGTAAAATTGTGAACAAGTAAAAGATTAGTCTTTTTCAGTTCAAATGTTACCGGTGGGGTCCATGACAAACGGATGTATTGCAACAGAGTCCGTCCGATGAGGAGTGTGTGTGTGTGTGATTGTCTGTAAACCACCGCCTCTGTTCAAAGATGGTCGCTCACAGTGGACATAGATGGCTTCTTTCACTCCTCTTTCAAACCATCTGTCCTCTCTGTCCAAAATGCCAATGTTCACATTTTGGACAGAGAGGACAGATGGTTTGAAAGAGGAGTGAAAGAAGCCATCTATGTCCACTGTGAGCGACCATCTTTGCGGGGGTTTACGACACCAACTCTCTGCCATCTATAATCCAGTTTTGGGTTCCCTTCCCAGACGCCTTAACGTCCACTCACATCCTGGGCCATCTGACCTCAGGAATTCGCATGATAAGGTGGGGCCAGGTTTCACAATGAACTCACCCGAAACTCTGGCTGATTGGGACCCACACCCAGTTTCACACCTTGGCTCAGGCGATTAGAGGATCATCAGGGGTCCTTTTGTCCCTCTGTGGGGGGATACTCCCACTAGGTTTATATCTGGGACTCTCCACCATTTGACCTTAGAACTGAAGAAGCTTCTCGGATGAGAGGTGAAACGTCTTCAAGCAACTTAAAGAAGTCCAGACGCTTTTCTTTGCAAGCTCCTTTGACTTATTTTTATATTAAGTAAACACTGCATACTTTTTATTTAAAAAGAACTGTAAAAAGAACAAAAAAGAAAATGTTTAATATTACTTTACATTAGATGGTTTGAAATGTTCATTGAATTTATTCAGTAACATTTATGAGAAAAATATGAGAAAAGAAAGAAGAAATCTGTTCAAAATTATTTTTTCAGTGCAAATATGTTTTCATCTTCTTTGTCAGAGGTCTGGATAATAACTACTGTCGTAACCCCAACAATGAACTGATGCCCTGGTGCTACACAACTGACCCCAGCAAACGCTGGGAGTACTGCAACGTGCCACGGTGTGGGGTTGCACGCACACAAGGTATAGTGTTAGTTAATCTATCTCGTCCTTGTGTTTCAAAAATGAGTGAATCTCCCCCCTTTCAATATCCCTTGCTGCAGGTGATCCAGTGATCCCCCCAAATGAGGAAGACTGCTATGAAGGGAACGGTTTCAGTTATCGGGGCATAACATCAGAGACCATCAGTGGAAAAGAATGTCAAAGTTGGAGCTCCATGACTCCTCACAGACATTACAAAACTCCAGAAGCCTACCCTGATGCGTAAGCATTAAACACATTCAGTTTTTATGGCTAACACAACAGGATGACACAAGAGGATAAGACAGCTGACCTTGAGAGGGGGAAAAAAATTATAAAAAAAACCCTATATTCTAACACAAACATGAACCAGGAATTCATCACTACATACAAGAAGAATGTTAGTATGCTGAAGATGTACCTTAAACCTATGTGGTAAAATCCATGAATTTTAATTTTTGAAAATTTTTAGCAGTCAGAATTCTGACTGGCAAAAAACCAAAAAACAAATTTTCCAACCCCAATTAGATCCATCTATTTATTAAGCCCCCTCTCTGGGCTTAACTCTATATGTAACTCTATAACTCTATAAAAATATCTTGTTTAATAGGTTGATGTCTTAAAGTTTCAGGGGCTTTTTTTTTTTTACAACAGGGACCTCAGAGGGAATCTGTGCAGGAACCCTGACGGGGACCAAGCTCCCTGGTGTTTCACTACAGACCCCGCAGTCCGCTGGGAGCACTGCAACTTGAAGAGATGCTCTGTCAGACCTTCAGAAGTCAGTTCTCCTCGGCCACACATCACCTCCATTGCCATCCAGACTCCACCGGAAAAAGGTGAATCAGCTTTAAGTGTCACATGTTGTGCTTCCTTGCCAGTTTGTTTGACCTTTCATTTACTTCCCCTGTTTCGCTGCGGCTGTTTTAGACTGCAAGATCGGAAATGGAGCGACATACCGAGGTCCAACCTCTGTTACTGCGAATGGTGTGACATGCCAGGCGTGGAGTTCTCAGACTCCTCACAGTCACATCAGCTTCACCCCAGAGACTCACCCCACCAAGGGTCTGGACGGCAATGTAAGTGCGTGAGTGTTGCAATAAAAACTCTTTGTGGTAAGAACAGATTTTTTTTCTAGCTTCTAACTTCTCTGTCCACTATCAGAGCTGCAGAAATCCAGACAACGATATAATTGGACCGTGGTGCTACACTACTGATAGGGACAGGATATGGGAACACTGCCAGATCCCTGACTGTGGTATATGAACATTGTTTGTGTTGGCATTCAGATTCAGTGTGTTTTATTTTAATTTGTTACCATCTACCAACCTTTTTAACCACTCTATCAGCATGAATGATGCTCAGTCTGAACTGCAGACTGTAGTAACCCTTGCTTTCTATTCACTCATCTCAACCTGGGTCTGATTCTATCCACATGTGTTCTGGTATTCTAACCATGTTAACAACAGTGAATATCTCACTTAGTTCAATGAGATTAGCAACTATCAAACAAATATTGTTTTGGTCAGAGAAATTCACACATTGTCTCAACAATAAAAAATCTCTGTCTCTATCTATGCTGCACCGCTCTATCATGCTACTATAAATCCCATTATTTAGAAGTGGAAATAGGACTAATACCTCTTTGCAGCTAGTAGGTGCCAGTGATGATAATAAATATTTTTTTCTCTTTGGACTTCAGATAATTAAAGATAAAGGCAAATGGCAGTAAGTGAATGTGAAGAGCTGACTTGTTTGGGAGAGCCAAATCCTGTTCAGCTCTGCTGAGAATCCAGGCAGACAGAGTTGGAACTTTATTTTGATCGGCACACTATGTGCAAAGACACACAATCATACCATCATGGGAAAGATGGTAGTGGGCAGACTTTCTAAAGCCAGTGAGTGTAGTGATACAGGCCAGGTACACATATGAAAATATCCATCAGAGCAGGATCAACAACAAACCTAAAAATACTTCTCAGAACTGTTCAACAGTCTGTGCAGCTGTACTTCTGCTGCAGGTGTACCATGGCTTTTTGCAATTCAAACCAAAACAAATCACCCCAGACAAACAGATTAGGACTTGACTGAGATGATACCCACTGACCTCTAGCTATTTTCCACTCTGGAAAACAAAACACTTCTGTCCAGGCCTCAAACCCCATGTTTGTTCTCCCCAGTAGTGGTAAATACACAAAAGTAAAACTTAATTTAACAGTAAAAAATTGCTTACAAAAACACAAACCATTCGTATTTGTTAAATTATACCTAAATAGAAGGCATAGAGTGATGCTAAATGAGGCCATAAGAGCCAAAGCCAAACCAAAAGAGCAGAATCTCTTGATCTCAATAATGTGTGGAGACTGGAGCCTGTCCCAGATTTCAGAGGGTAAAAAGTGCAGGATTACCACATAGAGATGTCCAGTCTTTTTAATCTACAGTAACCTAAAATGCAATGGAACATGTTCACACAGCCAGCTGATGGATCCCAGCACATGACTTTGACACTGTGAGGCAATACATGGTGCTGCTGAATTATTGTCCAGCTAACCAAGACATGCTAGAGATACCAGATAAAATCCATTTAGTGAGTAAAATGGATTAATAAACCTATTTTTGTGCAAACTTTTCCATTGGCTTGTTGCTAATGAGACTATAAAGTTTAAAGTTTAAACTAATTCAGTGTTTTTGTTTCACTCATCTTCTGAGAATTCATGACAATGAACTACTGCTTTACAGTTGAAATGAAGTGCGGAACACCAGTAATCAAACCAAAACGTTGTTTTAGTCGTCTTGTCGGCGGCTGCGTGTCGAATCCTCACTCATGGCCCTGGCAAATCAGCCTCCGAACCAGGTGAGAAAATAACACCAAAAGGACTTACATTCATAATATAACATGTACAGAGTAATTTAAATACTTTTGACTGTTAACTGTAAATACTGTAAAGACTTGTTCTTGTAGTTATAGAAATAAATACATTGAATGTTAATAGTGATATGTTACAGTATTTTATATTGATTTTGGCCTGGGTTTTTGTTTGTCTGTTCACTTTTTAGTTCATTTGTTTTTGAAAGCAAGCTGCTGCTGCATCTCGTCTGTATTGTGAAAGAAACACCTGTTTCTCTTTCTACTAGTATAGGAAAACATGTCTGCGGAGGAACTCTGATCGACCCTCAGTGGGTCCTTTCTGCTGCTCACTGCTTTGAGAGGTAGGAACAGGACCACCATTAACAATTAAAATCAAATTCTGCAATAACTCAAACAGTGATTGATTATTCCACCAGCTCCATTTGGCCTTCAGCCTACAAGGTATTCCTGGGTATCCACACGGAGAGAGGCAATGAGCCATCGAAACAAGAGAGGAGACTTGAGAAAATAGTAATGGGACCAAACAGAGCAGATATTGCTCTGCTTAAACTAGAGAGGTCAGTATGGGTCTAATCATCCTGGGTCAGCTATTAATGATATTACACAAACAACTTGGTGCAGATCTGAACTTTGATCTTAGCTAACCTGAAGGACTGAAGCATGGATGAAATATGTGTTTTTGAAAGTATTAACACTGAGACTCAGCTACCAGACTTGTTAGAAAACAGGCTCTCATACTTTAATCCAGCATACAGATACTGTCTATTAATTATTTAGTTATCCATCTGATATTACAATTATCACAATATCTATGAAAAGAAAGTGTGAAAAAAAAAACCAATAGTGCTATCAGTCAAATTCATCTATAATTAGCCGTGAATGGGTAGCACCGTCTATTACAGCTTGCTTATACTATCATAATAGTGGGGTAATAAGGTGGAAACGAGTAGCCAATAATGTGGAAGTAATGTATAAGTGTTATGTTGTATGAAGAGTAATCATACTGGAATAATATTACATTAAAATGTATGTAATTGTGTAATAATATAGGAGCAAAAGTATCCCCATGAGTTAAACCAATTAGCAATAGCTTAATGACAAACTGGTAACAATATGATACATACTAGCAATAAAATGGTAACACCCATGCATTAAAATTGTTATATTATATTATGTGATATTAACTTATTTACATTTGGCTCAGTGTCCCAACCTTTTTGGAACGGAGTATGCAGAAAAATAAGTAACTTGTTGACACGAGTTTAATCTTGTGAATGCCATTAAAGATATTTGCATTTCTTTCAGCCCTGCTATAATAAATGATAACGTGCAGCCAGCTTGTCTCCCAGAAAAGGACTATATAGTTTCCAGTACAGCAGAGTGTTTTGTAACTGGATGGGGTGAGACTCAAGGTACGTCACATAGATGTGTGCTTTTTTTTTAATGTCTGTGGATCTTATTGTAATGACAGAGTAAAAACTGACTGATACAAACTGATACAAATCACACGTTTATGTGCTTTTAATCAAAGTTTGTTTGAAGCCACATCTGGTCCTCATAAACATAGGTGGGACATCAAGTAGGCAGGATTTTCTTGTTGATAATAGCCACTGTTTCACAAGTTTTATTTTCTTCTGTTTCATTTGAAGTTAGTTTTTTCCTAACAAAGATGTATTAGTGCTATAGTGATACCCATTCACATCTTTTTCTAGCATTTTTGTTCTTGATTAAAGAAAATGTTTAAAACAAATGTTTGAAATGTTTTCACAGTTGCTTTACAACTCATGATACACTGTAAGCTGAAAAACTCATTCGCACACTTTAGAAATGCCAATGTAGAGATGATTGACACAGAAGGAAAATCATTGAGTGCAATGAAAACCTTTCACCAGCAAGTGGCAGGATTTGAACAATAAGCTTTACTGTGGCTCTATATCGACCAGCAATAATTACTATTTTTGAACATAATTTCTAATTAATGATTCTTTGTTAATTAAACACATTACATCTTGGACAGGGAGGTTTAGCAGTTTGGTCAACTCCACTGTACATGTATTGCTACACATCTTATGATGATGGCCATGAGGAGGAGGAAGGTAATTGCACACAGGTGTGTTGGCAGGTACAGGAGGCGATGGTGTCCTGAAAGAAGAGGGTTTTCCGATTATCGAGAACAAGGTGTGTAATCTACCAGAATACCTGAATGGCAGAGTTCAAAACAACGAGATGTGTGCCGGATATATCGAGGGAGGAGCGGACAGCTGCCGGGTATGAAAAACACAAACCTATGAAAACTGGGGAATGTTTATAAAATGTGTGTGTTTTACTTCATCTTACTGACCTGACATATTTTAATAGATTTCCAGAAACTAATGACTGAAAAAATCAGATATATAAATGTTTCATTTGTTTACAACAGTTCAACATAGAATTTAGTAATAGTAATAATGTTTCTATAGTAAATTCAAACAGTTAATTATTCTCCACCCATCCATCCATCCATCCATCTTCATCCGCTTTGTCCGAGGCCGGGTCGCGGGGGCAGCAGCCTAAGCAAAGAGGCCCAGACCTCCCTCTCCCCAGCCACCTCCTCCAGCTTATCCGGGGGAACACCAAGGCGTTCCCAGGCCAGCCGAGAGATATAATCTCTCCAGCGTGTCCTGGGTCTGCCCCGGGGCCTCCTCCCGGTGGGACATGCCTGGAACACCTCACCCAGGAGGTGCCCAGGGGGCATCCTTGTCAGATGCCCGAACCACCTCAGCTGGCTCCTTTCGATGTGGAGCAGCAGCTGCTCTACTCTGAGCCCCTCCCGGATGGCTGAACTTCTCACCCTATCTCTAAGGGAGAGGCCAGCCACCCTTCGGAGGAAGCTCATTTCCGCCGCTTGTATTCATGATCTCGTTCTTTCGGTCACTACCCACAGCTCGTGGCCATAGGTGAGGGTAGGGACGTAGATCGACCGGTAAATCGAGAGCTTCGCTTTTACACTCAGCTCCCTCTTCACCACGACGGACCGGTGCAGCGTCTGCATTACTGCAGCTGCAGCCCCAATCCGTCTGTCGATCTCCGGCTCCCTTCTCCCATCACTCGCGAACAAGACCCCGAGATACTTGAACTCCTCCACTTGGGGCAGGAACTCATCCCCGACCCGGAGTGGACACTCCACCCTTTTCCGGCTGAGAACCATGGCCTCAGATTTGGAGGTGCTGATCCTCATTCCCGCTGCTTCACACTCGGCTGCGAACCGTTCCAGTGCGAGCTGGAGGCCCTCACCCGATGAAGCCAACAGAACCACATCATCTGCAAAAATCAGAGATGAGATTCTGAGGCCACCAAAGCGAAAGCCCTCCGCCACTTGGCTGCACCTAGAAATCCTGTCCATAAAAATTATGAACAGAACCGGAGACAAAGGGCAGCCCTGGCGGAGCCCATCATCCACCGGGAACGAGTCCGACTTATTGCCGGCAATGCGAACCAAGCTCTTGCAACGGTTGTATAGGGATCGAATGGCCCGTTAATGTAATTTAATATAAACTCAAAGATGCTTTGACATTTGTGAAATTTACAGATAAAATGACCAAAATCAAATAACTTGCATGTGGAACTGTACAATAATCCAATACTTGGAAAAATCTGATTGTATAACAGGTAATTTATGCTTTTGATACGAATGTTTAATTATATTAAATAAAACCTGTTAGTCCAGCTAAAACTACACATACTTGTTTTAACTTTTTACATCCGTTCTTCCATATGTGGTTTATACAGTAAGGATTTTCTGAGTACATTAACATTCCAAGTCGTAGCTTTAATATGAATAGGTTTACATCAACATAGAAAGAACTGTGTGGGAAAAATGGCAGTTTTAACATGGCGTACCCAGTTGCAAGGGTTTGTTGCAGGGATATGTTGTCCTTGAAAAAGAAAATTAAAAAGAGCTCACTCATAGTTTGACATCTTTCAAGCTGAAGTTGTCAAACAGTATGAGGAGTAATGATGTGGCTATGCAAATGAAAAATATAAGAATCAAATATTATGAATTTGCTTTCTTACACATGCATTTGGGGAAAACCGGCTTGGGCTATATTTCACAGCTGTCCTTTCTTACATGTAGCACTCAACAGGCAAGCAGTTTCAAATACTGAAAATTCTTCAAGTGTGTGAGGTGAAAGAGCTGCTTTGATGGAGCATACAGAAAGTAGTAAACTCACTTTGGTGAATGCAGTGGTCAGCTGTTTGTGTCATTCAAACATCAATTTCACTCGAGCAACAAACAGACTTTTCACTATTTAGCTGGGAGGTTAAAGATCAGACATTTTTTGTCAGGTGATTCTGCAAAAGTTCACAGAGGAAGTTCTTTGGTTTGCCAGAGTTATTGGGGTTCTTTCCAGAAAATTATTATAGAAATGTTGGAGAATTTCAGTCAACCCGAGTAGCACAATTTAAAGACAAAGATCAAAGGTTATTTGCATGGCTGCAAAGAGTGTCATCAACACTCTTGAGGATTTAAGTAAACACTTGACTTTGTCTATTGTGTGTTAAAAAGGCTAAACAGCACACATCACTTTCAGTATTGGCACAAACATATTTTGATTAAACATACACATTCATTAGACATGGAAACATGGAAAAACAAGCCCAAATATTTACAGTGTGGACTGTAGACATAGAAAATTTGTGTTGCTTCTAAAATGGATGGGAAATAACTAAATACGAATGTTTTGTTTTTGTAGTTTCAGGTATTTGGCTTATTTCCTGAGCCATTCTCACTTTTACCCCCATCATTTTAACACAAATATGTTTACTTTCTAAGAAAGAGATTTTTAATATTCCAAATAGTTTGTTTATTTGGCAAATATGCACTAGTTTATTGCTTACACAATAATGCAGAAAAAACCCAACTTCCTTCGTGTTTCCTGCTCTTTTTTAGGCTGGTTTCAGCAGCTGTTAACTTAAACATAATCAAAAACTGTAGTTATTTCTACACATGTGTTCTCCTCCTGTAGGGTGACAGCGGTGGTCCTCTGGTGTGCTATGAGCAGAACAAGTTCGTCGTGCAGGGTGTCACATCGTGGGGTCTGGGCTGCGCCAATGCCATGAAACCTGGTGTCTACGCTCGAGTGTCTAAGTTTAAGGACTGGATAGACACAACCATCAAAGCCAACTAAAAGCTATCATCTGCAGTGTGTTTACTGAGGATGTCTTAACCTGTATATATTGTTCTGCTCTGGCAATGATTGACTTCATGACATGGAGTTTTTCGGTTTTCTATTCTCTCCTGAAGTGGATAGACTAAAAGCAGAGCAGCTTACTGGTTTCAAAAGCAATGAAAATGTTTCTGTAACAGGTTAAACTTTTTTTTTTTTTTTAGAAGCCATGCTTTACAGAAAATGCATTACAAATCTACTTCTTTGTGGTTACATTGAGTGAAATACAAGATAAAGATTCAGTTGTTGTTTCCTACTTGATTGTGTGTGACTTAATTTAGTTTTAAGACATTCCTACAGTTTAACCAATTGGTGTGTGTTATCTGTCTTCATAGATAAAGCTGGGTGTCATCAGCATAGCAGTTAAAATGTATACTATGCCTTCTGATGATACTGCCCAAGGGAAGCATGTATAAGCAGAATTGCTCCTAGCACAGAATCCTGTGGAAATCCATAATTAACCTTAGTGTGTGTGAAGAGGACTCACCATTAGAATGTAAAATATGTGTTGTGTGTTCTTTCCATAGCTCAACATCCCTTACACCACGTATTGTCTGATCATAGCGCCAAAGTTCACGACCTTCAACTACCTGACTGAGCTTCAACTCTTTAAATAAGCACAGAAATGCAAAGTGTATATAAAATGATTACAACTACACCTGTAATGAAAAGGTTAGTACGTGATTATGATAACACCAGTAATACAAATTATAACATAATACCAACAGCGTCAATCAATGTTTTTGATGAGAATAAGAATTAATGCAATGGTTAATGATAATGGTTATGAATAGTAGCAGTAAAATATTTCCCTGATCTCCACAACATGAACAAATTGGAGTCTATTAGACCACTGCAGCACAGTACCTGTAATACAAATAGCACGCTCTAATTGATGTAATAAAATATTATGATCAACAGTATTGAAAGCTGCACTGAGGTCTAACAGGACAAGCACAGAGATGAGTCCACTGTCAGAGGCCATGAGAAGATCATTTGTAACTTTCACTAAAACGGTTTCTGTACCGTGGAAAACTCTGAAACCTAAATGCAAAAGGTTAACATCAGCTTACAAAAGAGTTGAAAGAGACAACTGAAAACATAAACTCATATGAAAAGTGTTTACTGAGGTTATTAATTAAGTGAAGGCACAGATGATGGCGCACTTTAAATCTTATAACAGTAAATGTTTTAAATGAAAATACTTGAAGCTTGGTTGCATTAAAGATAACTTTAATAACTGTATGACGTGGTTCCATAAAAAGACACAAGTTAGTCTAAACACTAAACACTGTGCACAAAGAAAAACTGAGAAATTGTTAAAATTGGCTCCTAAAATAAAAATCAAGGAAGTAACTAATATATCCACAAGCAGCACTGTTAAACAGCATAAATAAATACTTTGGTGTGCAAAGGAGCTTAAACAGTTGCCCAATCTTTGTTGGACGCTGTATTTTGGTAGTTGGGCAGCAGGTTCACCATCTGCTGGTTCTTCAGTCCGATTTTCTCCTTTGCTCTGAAAACACAAAGTCGCGTTATGCACATCAACTACAAAGCTACGAGTCTAAAACACCCATGCATTATTATTCATAAATCTGATTGTCAATCAGAACATAAATCAACAGCTTTTCTGATAACTGATTATATGTTTTAGTCAGTTTAAGCAAAAATACTAAATGTGCTGTGTTGGGGAAAAAAAAGTCTCTCAATCTGTACTTACTATAGATACAATAACAGAGATATGACGGGATTTAAAGGGGCTTAATTTTCTTACTGCACTAACTACTCACTTTTCTGGGAACTCAATGTCGTCGATGGTATCGGGCAGCGGTACGCCTCTGGTCTCAGGGAGCAGCAGCACCAAACCTCCAGCCAGGAAAGCCAGAAACCCTACACAACACAATTCAATAATGCATTTAAGCTTTGATAGTCACATTTATCTGACTTTTACTCTCAGAAAACCCACCAAAGATGATGAGTGGCAGCTCCAGCCAGATCACAGCCAGTCTGTAGAGCAGGAATGGAGCCACAATGCCTCCAACATCACACAGAGTGGAACAAACAGACACTCCCAGGTTCCTAAAGACATAAAAACAGCATTTCTTTTAATCTACTAAAATAAAGTATATTTACTTTTTAAACTTTTGATGCGAAGACATGTTTGAAAGGCTAAATATCCACAGTTACATTAGTTATCTACATACAAATACAAAAACAGCTGGATTTGGACAGGTTCTGAAACTGTGACATAAAAGAAAAGGATAAAAGTTCATATTTTGATCAGTTTCACACTTATATTACCAGGTACAGCTTCAAACGGATTTGGCAGCAGTCTAAGCTTTCTGTGAGCACAGTTCTATCAATAGTGATTTGTGATGTTCTTTTGTTATACTGTACACAGAATTTACTGTTGTTTACTGATTACCTTAGTTGATGTATAAATTATACCTGTTCATCCCAAACACAATACATTTTCTGTATTATACCTGACAAACGTCGGGTAGAGCTCAGTGTTAACAAACACCACCATCTCAAAGGTCATCGTGATCCCCAATCGGCCGATGCATGCCACTGCCGTCTTAAGCCAAAACATGCCTGCAAGAACAGACAGAACCATTAAAAGAAAACTTGGAAATCAACGTTCAAGAGCACCAAATAAAATCACTCACTGTCAGGAATAAAGGCAGTGATGAAACAGGAGACTCCAGCTACAAAATTGGCCGTGGCGAAGGGGAGGCGTCGGCCGATGCGCTCAATGGTGAACAGGATGAGGAAGGCGGCAGGAAACTCCACCAAGCCAGAGATGAGGAAGTCGATATAGACATTTCCTCCCAGAATGCCCAGCCTCATGATCAAACCCTGGTAGACGACAGCACTGGTGAACCTGGGAGAAAAAACATCTCATTAACTTCGAATCTTTATCCTAAATTCCATCCATCCATTTTCTTCCGCTTATCTGGAGCCAGGTCGCGGGGGCAGCAGCCCAAGCAGAGAAGCCCAGACCTACCTCTCCCCAGCCACCTCCTCCAGCTTATCCGGGGGAACACCAAGGCGTTCCCAGGCCAGCCGAGAGATATAATCTCTCCAGCGTGTCCTGGGTCTGCCCCGGGGCCTCCTCCCAGTGGGACATGCCCGGAAAACCTTGCCCAGGAGGTGCCCAGGGGGGCATCCTTGTCAGATGCCCGAACCACCTCAGCTGGCTCCTTTCGATGTGGAGGAGCAGTGGCTCTACTCTGAGCCCCTCCCGAATGGCCGAACTTCTCACCCTATCTCTAAGGGAGAGGCCAGCCACCCTTCGGAGGAAGCCCATTTCCGCCACTTGTATTCGCGATCTCGTTCTTTCGGTCACTGCCCACAGCTCGTGGCCATAGGGGCACAGCTCAACCGGTAAATTGAGAGCTTCGCTTTTACACTCAGCTCTCCGTGAATCGCTACCTTATCGTGGTGGAGAGGTTTGTCTGTCCAAGGGATCCCAGGGGCTATGTTGTCTGGGGGCTTTTGCCCCCTGGTAGGGTTTCCCATGGCAAATTGGTCCTGGGTGAGGGACCAGACAAAGAGCGATTCAGAAGACCCTTGTGAGGAAAACATCAAGGGAACAGTTTACCCTGCCCGGGATAGGGTTACAGGGGCCTGGGGAGGGTGCCCAAGGCCAAGCGTCTTGTGGCCGGGCCTTAGTCCATGGGGCCTGACCGGGCACAGCCCGAAAAAGGGACATGGGCCCATCTTCCTGCAGTCCCACCACCCGCAGGAGACACACGTAGGGGTCGGGTGCAATGTGCGTCAGGCGGAGGTCCTGGCGGACCGATTCCCGGCTACCAAGACTGGCAATTGGGAGACTTTATCCTAAATAGATTTTTTTTTTTTTTGATAAAGAAGAGTCATTTATAATAACAGTTGTGTCCTGCTTTAATTGAATCCTTACCAGTTATAGCTGAGGATAAAAGTGTGTTTTCGCATGTTTGGCGTTCTGATCAGGTCCATGAAGGAAGCGGTGGTTGAGTCTGCGTTATCATCTTTCAGGGTCTGCAGGATCATTTATATAACATCACATAGTAAAAGTATTTCTGGTTGTTTTTATGCCTTAGCTTCAGCCTGTTTTACTATGTTTCTCTATGAAAAAAAATCTCACAAAAAATAATGCAGTCTAATCCAATCCAGATCGTGTCTTTTTCATGGAAGGCTTGAAACCGCTTATTGCACCTTTTAAAACAGCATGGCTTCAAAGTAGAAGAGTTCAGCTACTGAACTGGCTTGCCTGGAGTCCAGACCTTTCACCAACCAAAAACATCTCGTGTATCATGACATGAAAAACACAACAAGCAAGACCCAGAACTGTTGAGGAGCTACATTTTCATCAGACACAAATGGGACAACATTTCTCTCTCCAAAGTCCACAAACTGGTATTTTCAGTTCTCACACATTTACAGGAATGTAAATCTATTTCTATTTCCTAAAATGTAAGTTTTATCTCACTTAATAAGTCACAATGAATTAGACTTCAAATTGTCATGTTATATGCTGATAGATTTTGATTCCAGGTAACAGATGCAGAGATTTTGTGTCCAATGGCTACCTCGATGTTCTTGGAAAGAGTCATCTTGTTTTCTTTGGCTATGTCCTCTGTGATCTTCACTGCTTTGGAGTTTTGGTTTTGAGAGAGAAGCCATCTCGGAGACTCTGGGATGAACCTGGAAATGTAAAATGTCAACAACAAATCTGTTGTTAAATACAAAACTATTTAAAGGTACAAATTCTTTCTTTTTTTAATTGATAATGACAAATTATCAGTAGGTGCGTGTATTTTTTCACTAAGACAAAGAGATTTTTGGGTTTTATTTTAAGGTTTAATGGGTCGTACAAAGAAAGAACCGGCAAAACAGACAACCCACGTAAGGGTAGCATCTGATAAAATATAGTGCTAAAGGTGCACAGGTTGACATAGCGACAAAAAACTAAAGGTAATAATATCTTTTCTCCACAGTACCTCTGGTGTAATATACCCTCATTGGCTCTACAAAAGAAAACATTTATTCTAAACCTGCATTTAAAATGTATTAATATGTATATAATAACTGGATAATGTTTTTTTTAGCATAAGTGAGAAGACTACTCACTTTTATAAAACATTTGGAAATGACTACAAGACACAGATTTCTAACATTTTAAAATCACCTACATGTCACTGAAATTGGCTACAGCCCAAATAAATATGTTAAATAAAAGTTGAAAGATGGGTTAATAAAACTTCATTCATACTGCTGTATGTGGTTGTGGTGACTCTTACCAGTAGTAGGACAGGAACAGGATGTAGGGGATGGTGATGACGACCTGCAGCCAGCGCCAGTCTGTTATATAGTAGGCGAGCAGAGGGAGGATGAGGATGCCGATACTGAAGAACATCTGGTAAATTACTCCGACTGTACGTCTGAACTCCACGCCCACGATCTCTGTGACTGAGATGAATAGAGGAAGGTGTGTGTTGGAGTCAAATTGTTAAATGTTGTCACTGTTTTACTTAAATTTGTAAGTCTTAGTTCAAGCAGCAGGATCAAAGACATGCCTTTGTCTCTGACCACCTCTCCAGCCTGTTGGACGGTGGGGGAGGCTGAAGTGTTTTATTTAATGGAACATCCTGTGTGAGGGTTCTGTTTTGTTGTTTAGTAACCTTCCTGCTTTTATGACCCTGCACGCACACGCACACGCACACACACACACCCTTTTGTAACCATAGGGGGGTTTACTATGGGAGGTGCTTGTGTGTACTGTAACTGTTTTCAATAAAAGGCGTTCAGCTCCAAAACCCTGGTTCTGACCAGTCTCCCTTGCTAGCAAGTAAAAGCTGTTCAGGGAATGACTATCCTTGATTGACTGTGGTGAAAAGCAAAAGGTAAAGGTTATAAGGTGGTCTTACTCAGCACATATCCAGCTACCCAGCCTCCTTTCACTCCAAACCCATAGAGAGTCCTGAAAACCAGTAAAGATATGTAGTTTGGAGCCACGGCCACCAGGATCCCTGCAACCCCATTCAGCAAGTTGGATATGAGGAAGCTCATTTTCCTGCCAAACCTGAAGTCAGACATCAACAATCATCACATTGCTGTAAGTCCGTCTCACAT